CAAGCAGGCTATGGCTCTCGGTTGCTTCCCTAGATTGAAGATAATTCACACCTCGAGGAAACTGATGGGCCAAATTTATATCCCAGTTATAAATTGGTTTATGATGATCATGTGTGTAATTGTCGTTTCCATATTTCGCAGCAGCACTACAGATATCGCCAATGCATATGGTTAGCTCTACTGATGCCGGCCTTTCCACCAAAAATAATGATGATTCATGAACGAGGAGCTGATAAAGCTAGTAGCTTCTATTCAAATCTTATCGTGATTGCTTCTCTGATGCCGTCTAAATTGTTTTTTGCAGGCATAGCTGAAGTTGGTGTTATGTTGGTCACAACCACGTTAGTGACACTCGTAATGCTTCTAATATGGCAGACCAATTTGTTTCTGGCTCTGTGTTTTCCGCTCGTATTTGGATCGATAGAGCTTATCTATCTCTCTGCTGTTCTTTCTAAACTCTTAGAGGGAGGTTGGCTTCCACTTGTTTTCGCTACTTTCTTTCTCACCGTCATGTACATTTGGAACTATGGCAGTGTGCTGAAGTACCAGAGTGAGGTCAGAGAGAAAATATCTATGGACTTCATGCATGAACTCGGCTCCACACTCGGGACTGTGAGAACTCCGGGGATTGGTGTGTTATATAATGAGCTTGTCCAGGGCATTCCGTCGATATTCGGGCAGTTTCTACTCAGCCTACCTGCCATCCATTCGACTATTGTGTTTGTTTGCATCAAATACATCCCTGTCCCTGTGGTCCCTCAGGAGGAGAGATTTCTTTTCCGAAGAGTTTGCCCGAAAGACTACCATATGTTCCGGTGTATTGCTAGATATGGTTACAAAGATATACGGAAGGAGGATCATCATGCATTTGAGCAACTTTTGGTTCAAAGCCTCGAGAATTTCTTGCGGAAGGAAGCTCAAGATCTTGCCTTGGAGAGCGGCTTGTACGAAATGGACCTTGATAGCGTTTCGGTGAGCTCACGGGATTACAGAACCAGGGGTGATGTTGGTAACGAGGAGCTTAGAATCCCATTGATGCATGACACAAGATCAGAAGCGGCAGAAACATCTAACCAAGAAGCTTCACCAGCATTGCCTTCAAGTGTCATGTCGTCGGATATAGACCCGAGTTTAGAATACGATCTTTCGGAATTGCGAGAAGCGATTGATTCTGGGTTTACGTATTTTCTGGCACATGGAGATGTGAGAGCCAAAAAGAAGTCATTTTTCCTTAAGAAACTCGTCATAAACTACTTTTACGCATTCCTAAGGAGGAACTGTCGAGCCGGAGCCGCGAATATGAGCGTACCTCACATGAATGTCCTGCAAGTAGGTATGACATACATGGTCTGATGATTTTTTCCATTCCATCAAAAAGCTGTCATTTTTTACGGATGATACACCCCAGGCCATTTCAAGTTCAAATATTGTTCATCAACTCTCAGTAAGTTTGATGATTGAGCCAAGAATCATAGAATATTTGACATCATGATTGGCTGTCAATGAAAAAAAATTATATTGAACATGCTTGTTTACGGACAAGACATTTGTGTTCATAAGGTTTCGCTTTCAGCTTGAAAAATAAAAAAGCTGATGAAATTGCTAGGAAATTAAAACATTCGAGTTTATAACAAATTTTTAACAGATTTGATTTTAAAATAATAACAAAATAAAATATTAAATATCTATTTTAACAAAATAAATATTTTAAAATATTATTTTTAATATATAAAATATAGATGGTATAAATAAATATAAAAAAATAATTTTATTTAAAATTGCTGACATTCATTTGAGAAGCACTTTTTTATTGGAAGAAATGGAAATAACAATGATTTATTATTTTCAGTTGGGCAAGTCCTGGTGCTGTCATACACGAATTGCTTGCTGTTTTTAAGCTAAATATCTGCTTCAAAACAGCCTACTATGGTGCTGTACTATTTCATATTATCCTTGTTTAGATTCTGATTTGAATTGTCAATTGCTAATGAATTGTGAACGAGTTAGTAAAGTAAATTTATATAATAACATATTTAATTTTTATTAATTATATATTTTATTAAATCATTAAATTATTTCTAATTATTTTTCATTAGTATAGGGGATTAAAAGGTGATATATGTTCATAATCTTTTCTAACAGTATACACACCCCGCAACACAGCTACTCAAACTCATGTCCTCTAGGGAGAATAACGTTCTCTTTTACAACTGAAGCCACTCAATAATATGTTTTTTATTAGTCTAGGGTGAATACAAGGTAATATTTGTTTAAAGATTTTCAACCATTTGTCATTGAACGCTCATGTATCCATACATATGTGGTGCTCGAAACCGAGACCTTAAAGAATAACAACAATTCCTTAACCATTAAGGTCACTTTAACTTCTTAGGTTGGATGCGGAAGAAATCAAAGATATAAGATCAGTCTATTTGGAAGATTTTCAGAATCAAAGAGAATGGAATAAAGGATAAAAAGGAAAAGGAGGGTATCAATAGTTCAACGTGAAGACAAAGAAGAAAGCAAAATGGAAGAAGGTGCTACATCAGCCATGGTTTATTCCTTCTTTTGTTCTCTGGGCAGCCATGTTGGGTTCAACCTAAACCCTACATCAAAACACACACATCATGCCCCATGCATTAACTAATAATTTGCTGTTTAATGGCTATAAGACGAGACAATAACTTTGGCACATTTGTTTAACAACCAACGCTATAACATAAATCTTCCCAATCAATGCTACAATAATATAACAACCATTAAATTGTTGCATAAATTTTAGGATAAACTACATAAATGGTCCTCAAACTTTTAAGGTGCTTCCATTTTGGCCACTGAGTTTTTAAACTTACAATGCAGTCAATGAATTTTTAATTCACTTCCATTACGGTCACTGTTGTCAACTACATTTAAGAAAAACTACTGTGGTATGTTAAACTCTTCTTCCAAAAAAAATCCTTAAGTATTTTTTTAAGTTGGAAATCATCGGCCTTTTTTTACTTACATCATCACCTTTCGATGTTCTCTCGATCATCGTTGTCGCTAAACACAACACCCATCATATTAAAGAGCTTCATCATCTTCTCACGACCACTGAAACAACAAAATAAGCAAAGAAGTAAAGGAAAAAAAGAAGAGAAAAAGAAAATTATTCATCCCGGCCTTGATGAGTTTTCAATGAACACAATGATGGCCAATCAATATCAATGGTAGAAAGGTTACGATTGGCCAAAAAATTAACATATTTTGATTTCGATTTGATTTCACGGTTGATAGTGGCACAATAGAAAATTTTGGCCAATTGTATTAATTAGGATTTGGGGAGATCGTAAGGTTATGAGTTTGAGTAAAAAGATAGAAAGAAAGAAATAAAAGAAGAAAATGAGTAGTTTGGTTATCTTTTCAACTACAGAAATCATCGAACGATGGTATAAATGACGACCAAAGGAGGAACGAAGGCTATCAATTTTGAACTCTAAGAAACTTAAGATTTTTTTAGGGAAAGAAGAGGATTTTTAACATGTCACGTCTATTATTTTTAACAGCAGCTGATGAGACCGATTGTAATGAAACTGAATTAAAAGTGTATTGCTTGTATTATAAGTTTTAAAAATTTAATGACCAAAACATAAACACTCTGAAAGAATGAGGACCATTTATGTAGTTTACCCTAAATTTTAATGCAACGCAGTTTGTTGTTTTAAGTGATAATCTATAGTGATTTTTTTAGCGTACGAAAAAAAAATTAGTGACTTCATTGGGGAAGTGAAAGGAGATGATGGAAAAAGGAATCTTGGTGTTGCCAATGTGTGCATTGAAAACCAATTGAAAGGTGAGAGCAAAGTCACCAACTTCAACTTGGTAGCTATCCATATTTCACATGCCCATCATTCATATTCACAACTTGCAATGGGGACACATTGTCACGCCTCCTCTCACCCACCAACCCTACCCATCCTCATTTGAAAAAAATTCCATATCAATTTTTTTTATGGAATTTGTATATTGGAATTCGAATTCCATACGATAAGTTCTATAAAATATATTAAAAGATAAAATTTGTTATCTGGATTAAACGGAAATTCTATTTAAGTTATCTTATGGACATAATAAATTTTAATTATTTATTTTACTTTATAAAATTTATTATTTTCACACGATAAATTTTAAATAGACGATAACAATTAACAAATGACCTAAATTTCAAATTAATTTTTCAACCCCTATAATTCCTGAAAGAAAGTTTACCGCTTGGATTATTTGGGCAGCGAAGCCGGCTAAATTCACATGAACCCCAAACACGAATTTGAAATTGCTAATCTTGTGGGTTAGTCCATAAATAATTAAAGAATGTCAGGTGTTTTCAGCGGAACGGTAGATGGGGTCACACATTTGATCCGGTCATTAGTGTCTAATTTCCTCTTAATCACACAGGCTTCACGCTGGTGTTTTCTTGGTTAGTGGTGCTGTCTTCTAGCGGTGAAAGTTTGATTGAATTGAGTTGAGCAAGAGTTATTTGAGTTGAGTTGAGTCGAGTAAATTTTTTTTAAGTTATTCGAGTTGACGAATCCTATTATATAACTTAAACTTAATTTATTTTTTTGAGTCGAGTCGAGTTTTTGAATTTCTATTTAAATTTAATTGAAAATATTTATAATATTATGATAGTATTTCATTCTAATTTAAATGATTTTTTATAACTATATACAGTATATATATATTTCTTTATATTTCTTTTATATGTATTATACATATATCATACAGAGTTGAAAGACTTGACCTAAATTTAAAAATCAATTCATTAATTATTAAATATTAAATTATTCGAGATCTATTTTATAACTTAATTATGACTGAATTTTTTACGATTCCATTTTTAAAATTTTAGTTTCTAGCCCACATTATTTCAAAAATTTAAGCTCCTCTGGGTTCTAGCTAGTTCTTTTACTTTGCTATTAATTTGTTATTATTAATTTTTACGATTGCTTTTTCTTCCTTTTCTTGTCTCTTTTCCTTTTCTCTTCGTCTACCACACCACACTACTCTTCTCTCTCACCCTCTCAAAAAAAACACCAAGAAAAAGAACCATCTTTTTCTATTTTCATTAAAGAAAAGAGAGAAAAGAACCCCCATGAAAAGCACACTGTTTTACTGTTGATTCACTTTTCCTGAAAATACCCAGATTCCAAACAGGGTTTTGCGTTTCTTCTCAGTGTGTAAAGCTTGAATATCTTTTCATATCTAAGAGCTCTTTGCTGCTGGGTCTTTTTTTTTTGTGCTTGAGTGAAAGTGGCAATGGGTAAGAATGTGCTGATTTTGGGTATTGCATTTTTTCTGATTCTTCTTTTTGGAGATGTCACTTCAGCTCCTACTACTTCTTCACCTGCAAGTAAGCTTTCATTGATTTTGATCTGCTTCTGGATTTAAGCTAAATCCTTTGCTTTAATGGCTAATGAGCTTGATTCTGTTTTTGTTCTTGCAGAGATCGTTAGTGGGTTCTTCTCTAATGCTTTGTCTCCTTCTATGAAATGGTTATGGTCACTCAAAGCTACCACTAAAACAGGTTATGATCTCTGATTACTAGAATTCAGATTTGAAAACCCACATTTCCTTTTTCCTTCTTTCGGCTTTGAGATTAGCATCTGATGTAGTGGACTCATGGGATTTATGCATGTACAGCAATTACTGGCCGTCCGATGATGAAGTTTGAGGGTGGATACACTGTGGAGACTGTGTTTGATGGAAGTAAGCTTGGAATTGAGCCTCACACCGTTGAGATTTTGCCCAGTGGGGAGCTGCTGATTCTGGACTCTGCTAACAGCAACCTTTATCGGATGTCTAGTTCTTTATCTCTGTGTAAGCAGGGTTTCTTCTTTCTTATAGTATTATTATTCAAATGGTTGGCTTTGTTAATTTGTGTTGCATTTGCCTTTAATTATTTGAATGGTTCGCCTCGTTTGTATAATGCTTTGGTTTTCTAGTGTGATCTTTACTTACTGAATGTTCCGAGGCTTGTTATTAATGGAAGATGAATGAGGTGTTTGCATCTGTTGGCAGTGAGTCCTGTTGCTGTACTTGCCTCATAAATGACATTGCATGTTCTGCTGAGTTGGCATACCTTCCTCATTGTCCAAGTGCTGAGTCCAATATTTTATTTTGATGGCCCTGTTAGAGCAAGTTGTTTCTACTGTCGAGCATTTTAATGTAATTTAAATGCATTTTTCACTTGATTTTTTTGATTTTTCATAAGTTAGATCCGAGTTGTAAAATTATTGATTAGTTTGAACGTAGATGAGTGTTGCAGTTCTACCAATATTTATGAATATTATTTCATTCTTCTGCAAATAAAATAGCAACAAATAGATCTCACTAAGAGCATTTCCATCGTTTGGTGAGTTAAATAGAATGTTGACTTATTGTGCTACTTCTCGGTTTCGCTCTTATTAGGTTGCACTTTTCTCTCTGGACTGCTTGTTTATAGTCCTGTTAAGATTGATTGCTTGTACGGTTATGGACCTATGGAATTCACCAATTCAATTCTTCAGTTGAGCTATCGTCTTGATTTGTCCACAGACAAGTGTTTTCTTGTAATTATTTCATTCAAATTATGGGATAAATGCAGATAGTAGACCGAGGCTGGTTGCTGGATCCCCTGAAGGATATCCTGGACATGTAGATGGCAAGCTGAGAGAGGCAAGGATGAACCATCCGAAAGGACTAGCAGTAGATGACAGAGGGAACATTTACATTGCAGACACTATGAATATGGCAATCAGGAAGATAAGTGATTCAGGTAAGTTTTATATCCTTTATGCTCCTTGCATCTTACTTCTGTGCCTCGACTATACTGCATGCTAAACATTTGCCACCATATTTTCTTTTATTCTCAAAGTTATTTATAGGAACACTCTTTGGCAAGCTTAGTGTTTGCCATCATGTTCGATTCTTGCAATGTCTTAAATTGCTGGAAAAATTGCTAATATAAGTGAAATGAAATCTTCTTCAGGTATTACAACAATTGCTGGTGGGAAATTGAGCCGGGGAGGGGGACATGTAGATGGACCAAGTGAAGATGCAAAGTTCTCTAATGATTTTGATGTAGTCTATGTGGGAAGCAGTTGTTCTCTTCTTGTGATAGATAGAGGAAACCAAGCGATTAGAGAGATTCAACTACATTTTGATGACTGTGCCTATCAGTATGGAAGTGGTTTTCCTCTTGGTAAGCAAATCCACCCAAATCTGATCTTTTATATTAGTTTCCAATATTGGAGGTTTACACATTATAATATCTGTCATTGCAGGAATTGCTGTTCTCGCTGCTGCTGGCTTCTTCGGTTACATGCTAGCTTTGCTGCAACGTAGAGCGGGCACGATTGTATCAACCCAGAATGTGAGTATTCTGTGTTATTAAATTTATATAAATTCTTTGCATATGTTTCTCCTTTAGAATATTTTTAACTTTTGCTTTGGTCGAGTATTGTATGTAAAAATATCATCTCGGAAACTATTCCTCACATGTAAGCCCTACGATCAACACTTGACTAGTTTAGGTTCCAAAATCATCTAAAACTGTGATTATTTTTTAATGTCTGTTCCTATTGCTCATGAAGGACCAGGAATCAGTTAAAGTAGATGCTGCTGTATCGAGTCCATATCAGCAACCCCTGAAACCGGTCAGGCCACCTTTAATTCCAACTGAGGATGACCAAGAGAAGCAAGAAGAAGGCTTCTTTGGATCCATGGGGAAGCTTTTTGTCAATGGTGGTGTCTCTGCTTTGGAAATTTTGAAAGGCGTTTTCCCCGGTTTTAGAAAGGAGTCGGTAAGCTATCAATATCAGATCCAACACCAGCAACAACTGAAGCAAACAATGCCTTGGCCTGCACAAGAGAGCTTCGTGATACCCGATGAAGATGAGCCCCCATCAATCGATACCCGAGCCACCACTCCACGTAAAACATATCCTTTCATGTCTAAAGACGCAGACAAAATCCATCAGTTGCGCCAAAGCCGGGCCTTCTACAATGGATGGGATGTTGATACGCAACAGCAGCATCAGAAACCGCAGCATCATCACCATCGCCATCAGTCATCCGCCCCGCTTACTTATTATCAGCAAAGTGATGAGAAAACGAACGAGATTATTTTCGGGGCAGTTCAAGATAAATACGGGAAGCAACAAGCAGTGGTTGCAAGGCCGATCGATTGCGATCATCACAATTTCCGGTTCCGGTCAAATTTGGGTTACAATTATGGCCATTAATTTATGGCTATCAAATTCCGGTTACAATCATGTTGGTCCATAAAAAAACTTAGGATATAATACCAGTTGAGATTTGTATCTGGTGATTTGGAGCAGCTTAGTGTTGGCCTAAAATTTGTAAGGCTACTGCAATTATAATTTCATTAAACTTTCTTTTTCTCTCATCCATTCATTCTTCACCTTTCAAAATATCTACATTTTAAGTGTTCATATTAAGTTTTTTTTTTGTCATTAACCATACATAAACATCTTATAGGCACAATTATTCAAAATTTAGACTTTTAAAAAATAATATTTATTTTAATTATATATAATTAAAAAATATATTTTTTAGGGGTTGCACACTGTCACTGCACGTGATTGCGTATTATTTTAAGAAATGGGGGGGGGGATAATAAAATAATATTGTGTGCTTATTGCATAAAACAATAATTGAAGATCCATAATGTTTGGGTGTTTGGGAAGGGGTTATTATTAAATAATTGAAAGGACATGCTATACTAATTGATTTTGATCACTTTACTATTCCACAAGTGACCCACACAGAAAGACAAACGAACAAGTATTCCAATACCATTCAATTATTTATAATTGATGTGAAACCACATAAATCTGATTCCTTTCCTTCCAATTTTAAATGTCTGCCCTGCCCATGCTACTCTTGTTATTTTAGTATTTCCATTATTCATTTTAAAGATAAATTTTAAGTTTTCACAAATTATATAAATTAAAAAAATAACGCAAATACACCTTTTTATTCAAGCATATTCAAATTTTTATTTTTAATGCTTTTCAAAACATAGATTATATTGAAACCAGATTAATTCATTTAGAAGTCATGTATTTATTATTTAAGAAATAAAATTCAAATTTTAAAATTGTATTTCCAAATAATATATTGTAGTACTTCATTTTTTTCCTTTTCGATTTCAAGGTTTCACCTTGATTAGTCTGGACTAACCCGTGTTAGACACTTGGCTTTGGTGAACGAGTCTCACAGCAGAGTTTTCTGCATACACAAGGACAAACTCGAAACCTGACTTAAACTATATAAAGATGCTTACCACTTGAATCTCTTATCAATATGACCATGAAACAGAATATAGTATATTAAATATATTATATTTCTTGATGCCAACATGTGATGCAGTAGTTTACGATGATAAATACGGTAAGAAATGAGACAAAGATTGACAATTTATAATATACTCCTAATTTGAGTGGAGAGACACATATCTATTAAGATCCTAATTGAGAGTCGAATATATATATATATATATATATATATAATATGTATAGTGAAAGACTGAAAGAATCATTTTAATCTTAGAAAAATTATATTATACACTTTGGATGTTTAATTATTATGTAATCAATTGTTATTCGTGGAAAGAGTCACCACGTCTAGGAGGTTGATATGTGGATTTATCAAACGATTCAAACTGTATAGGCTATAGTCATTGGACCTTAAAATTGTGATTTAGTATACACTACGGGTAATATTAAAGTGAAATCCTTTGAGTAACAAAAGTTATAACTGCAGAATTCCATTTCACCTTCACATAGAATAAGCAAAAATCACCAGGTGTGTAACATTGATTACCAAGAGAAGAGGGAGCATGATGAACATATGATTCAGGTGTGCCTTGAACGGCATGTAGCTCAAAATATTACAAAATTATCGTATGATTTCAATTAAACCCATTTATGACACGACTTTCGCATCGGAATCCCATTCCGGGAAAGTGTTAAAAACAGGAAGTTTCTTGCACATCAAGTGTTTACGTCTCTGTAATGTCAACAGGATAAAGATATTATCCGTCTGGACAACATCGTAACCTGCTTTCACGTACATGTTGAATGGAGCCTCAATCATTCTGCAACGCAAGTACAACTCTTTCGAAGAAGCCATTTCAGATATCAGTTCCCCACTTTCCTTGAGAAGATGCCAACCAATTGCCCCTCCTACATAATTCAAAAACTTAGTTGCAATGAACACGTATCTGTTTATTTATAGGTAAGAAAAACAAAAGTATAATGATAAAATTATCTATCAATGTTGTTTAAATAATCACTTTTATTTTTAAAGTATTTTAATCCATGCAGTTTAATTTGTTGTTAAAATAGACTTTACTGTGTAAAATTTGTTAGTAGACTAATAGTTAACGTATGTTTAGGGATATGCATGTGACTAAACTAGAAGGGTTCTGAAAAACTTTCGGATTCGGATTAGGTCGAATCGGATTTTTTAAAAGGTAATATTCGGGTCGGGTTAGATTCGGATCTAGTGTGAAAAATATCTAACCCGATCCTACCAAAAAAATATAATTTTATCTTTATATATTTAGGAATAATTATAATAATATTCATCTGTATTTTATTTATTTTTTCAATTAAATCATTATTTTTTATTGAATAAAAATAATATTTTTTATTGAATAAAAATAATATTTTTTATTATTTAGGGTCGGGTCAGGTATGCTTTGGATTTTATCTCAAAAAGTCAAGTCGGGTTCAGATCCAATGGATGATATATATTTTTCGGGTCGAGTCGGGTGAATGATGTATAATTTTCGGATCGAATCAGGTTGATCGAAACCTGACCCATACCCATCCTTGCGTATGTTGTTAACGTGATATTTTCACTTGTATTTAGTTACTAACATGACATATCATATTGTTACATTAAGTGATATGAAATGATATTACTTTGATGACATTATACATATTAATTATCATTGCAAAATAAAATACATACCATATCATCACTAATAATTTAACACATATCAAATCACTAATTAAACATATATAAAAATGATATGTTAATGATATATATTAAACATTAAACAATTAATATTTATATCTAATAAGAATTATTTTAACCAAAACATCAAAAATTAAATTAAGGGGTTGTTTGTTTGGTTCTGAATAAAATCATTCAGTGTTGAATGAAACTATTAGGCGTGTTTGTTTCTTACCTCTAAATGATTTAATGCTGATTGATTCAGCAAAACAGTGCTAAATGATTCAGCATAAAAGTATATTCTAAATTATTCAGAATCATTATCAAATATCATGTCATATTCAGAGCTAATTCATTTAACATTTAAATCATTATGCGCTTAATCATTATGAAGTAAAGAAACAGTCCTAAAATATTTTAGAGAAAAAATTAAAATTAAAATGATTCTTTAAATAAAGATTGGATTAATTTTATCTAAAACAATAACCGAAAGAACCTTCTAAGGTGCTTTGTGACGGTCATATTACAGATGTATGGTGAATTCATGGGAGGCAAAGGCGTTGGGGGAGAAGCATTAGCACCCCTTTCATCAAAGCAAACTTCAACAGTCCCGGCAAGCTCGTTTCCCTTTTCCCCATCTTTATCTGTAAAATACCCAACTAAAGTGACGGCACGTGGCATCACAGTTCTCCTCTCGATCAAATACTGTTTCACCAAGAACCTCATCAAAATCCCATATCCTAAAGGCATCAACATTGACTCAGCGAATGACTCGGCGGTCAAATCCATCTCATCATTCCTCATTACCCGAACCGAAAACGACCCAGATTCCAAATCCAGGAGATAAACGAAAGACTCCAAGGCTTTGAGCTTCTCGAGCTCCTCATTGGATAAAAAACGAGTTCCCGTAAACGGGATCGTCGAGGAAGGAGGAGTAGTGACTAGTGAGATGGAGTGACGGAGGAAGAAGAAGAAGGGACATAACATTTGCAATTGAAATGGAGGAGTCTTTGTAGAGGAAGAATAGGGTTGTTCCTAGAAGAAAGAAAGGGGAGAGTTTTGGTGGGATTATGGTGGATATGGAAGTGTTGATGTCTTTTATGGTCTAAGTAAAGAGATGGCGAAACTGCTGCTGCCGCCATAGAGATAGGGTACTGCTGGTTTTTAAATCCGGTTTCATATATTTACGATTTTATCATTCTTTTTCCTTTTACAATAACTTTTATAGATTTTGAGTTTAATTCATTGGGTAAATTACACTAATAGTCAATTAACCTCAACGGTGGAAAGACTTTGTTTGACCAAAAAAATTAGCATAGTTTGTTTTAAGCTGATCCAATAATTGATATTGACAATTTAAAAAGTTTTAGATTTTAGATTCGATCTCAATGGCGGAAAACTTTTAAAACTTAAATTCCCATTCATTACGGTCGTTTTCGTTAGCTTCATGTTATGATGAAAGCACTTTTATTAAGAAATGCTAACGTGGCTCGTTAAAGTTTTTGAGAATGATTTTAAATTGTTTGATTTATATCGTGAGTATTTGGAGTTGTTGTTTAAAAGTAATTTTAAATAGAGAAATTGTCTATTTTAGATATTATTTTTAAAATAAAAAATTAATGATGTAATTGAAGATAAATGAATAATTTTATTTAAAAATATTGAAAAAAATAAAAGATATAACTTTTGAAAAACAAATTTAACCTAAAAAATATATACATTCAACGTTATTTTGATCTTAAGACTTAAGGGTGCTTTTGACTCCATAAATAATTTAAAAAAGCAATATATAACATGACCCTGACATTATTTGTTAAATTATATTTATTAGTAGTATATCATATTAAAATTTTCATTAATTTAATAATATTAAATTTCTAAACAGAGTTCATCATCAGGAATAACTTCATTAATTTTTTTGTTCAAATATTAGGCGTTTCTCCCGAAATATCACCATAATCCTATATATTTATCTGTCAGACACCATTCAGACTATATTTTCCAATCAAACACCCTTTGCAGGAAGGCGCCACCTGAACTGTGCTTTACGCCACGTGATAGAAGGTGCCCCGGGGGCGCACCTTACCAAATATGTAAAAAATACGGGTGCTAGTTTTGTAAATATTTTTAAATGGGTATCAAATACGTCATTAATTTCTATTATGGTGACATTTGTGTAAAAACGTCAGCATTTTAATTGTTCATACACCCCACACCCAACGGTTCCAAGTGAACTGACTGGGGTATTGTCACAAGTTAATGAAGTGGACAGTGTGTTGTGGTTGAGTTTATTAGTATTTTAGTGTGTAACAAGTTTATTTTTTATAATAATAAATATTTTATAATTTAAAAATTTATAAAATTCATATATTTTTGAAAAAATTATTGAATAATAATTCATTTGAACCCTCAGTTGTAATTAAAAATTTATTTTTATATTTTTATATTTTTAAACAATTAATTTTAAAATCAATAATTTTTTTAAAAATATATGAAATTTATAATTTTTTAAATTATAAAATATTTATCATCATTGTCATCATTTTGTAAAAGAAATACTAGTTATAAAATTATTCATATTTTAAAATACTTACCCTCAAAGTTTTTATATACTAGATTATATGTATTGTGTAATTTTAATGCAAAAATTTAAATAATTTTAAAAATGAATAAACATTATTAATTGTTGTTAAAAAATAAAAATTAATGAATAATAATTAATTTGATCCCTCAATTGTAATTAAAAGTTTATTTTAATATTTTTTATATTTTTAAACAATTAATTTTAAAAGACAATAAATTTTTTAAAATATATGAAATTTATAATTTTTAAAATTATAAAATATTTATTATTATAAAAAATAAACTTGTGACACTAAAATACTAATAAATTCAACCACTGCACATACTGTACACTTCATTAAAACCCCATAACCTCGTGCGATGTGAGCTGTGCACAATTCAAATGATGATGTTTTTACACATATGCCATCATAATAGAAATTAATTACGTATTTGACACTCGTTTAAAAATATTTACAAAACTAACATCAAGGTTTTTTACAGGGGCGCACCTTTGACCACGTGGCGTAAAGCGCGGTTCAGGGGACGCGCCTTCCTGCAAAGGGTGTTAGATCAAAAAAATATAGTCTGAACGGTACCTAATCGGGAATATTAAATGAAAAAAATAATTTTTCGGGGAAAACGCCCAAATATTAAAGCTTGAACATTTTTGTTTATTCACAAGGAGTTATTTTCTATCCCTCTAAAAGATTTGATTTCAACCCGATCCATATCTTTTAGATGAGGCCCAATATTTATTCTGTGTCTTCACAAGGCTCATAAGTTAACTTCTTCACAGCATCTTTTACCGTTTCAACATATACAAACTAAAGAGAGAGAACATATACAACCAAATAACGTTGTAATTGCAACAAAAACATGGAAGTGTAGGATGGAGAGTGTGGTCCTGATGAAGGAGCAGCAGCTGGTTCGGACAGGCTATTAACAACTTGGAGATGGACCATTGGTGTCCCCCACAATTCCCGGAACTGCCAATTTGCCCATCCATCTGAAATTTAATCACTTATCCTTCATTCAAATATATTTCTATCCATAAATACGAATTATTTTGATTTTAAAATTTATTTTGATTAAAATTTTGGTATATTTTGTTTCAGTGTAATTGATGTATACTTACGTATATGTACCTACAAATTTATGGTTTGTTTAAGGTAAGCACATGTCTACTTAAAATCAAAATTTTCTTTTATTAATTTTCTATTTTATTGGTCGTGATTATTTTGAAATTTTATTTATATTCACCCCAGTATTTAACTTATAAAAGATTTATTAAAATAGGTTGAACACGCATTAGAACCGGTTCAAAGATTTGTTAAAATAGCTCGAACACGCGTTAGAACCGGTTCAAGTGTTGTACCAACTTTGGGAGACCTAAAAACTTTTGAAAAGTTAATAGGAGCTTTTCACGACAACATAATTTCATGTTACACCAAAAGATTTTTCTGCTACTTCACTTGGATTTATCAATAGAATTTTTAAGCCCAATAACTTCAACTCAAACTAGTTTTGTTAATTTAAATTGATCTGATTTTAATTAAATTATTTTTCGTTTTAGTGTAAAATATTTTTTATTTACATTTAATTATAAATCATATAAATAAATATTAACCAAAAAAAATTCATCGTAGGTTTAATTGAACTGACAATTAATGACAGAATTCCTTAAACAAATAGGTTAATGTCATAATAATTTCTTCTAGTGTCTCAAAAGAAGGGGGCAGAGCCTAATGTTTGATATGATACATACATTTCAGAAGTAGACCACCGTGTGTTGCGGTGTCAATGTCTGATTTGTTGTGTTACTGTTGACGTGCCGTTGCCTGACCAATCAATAATTCATGTTAACTATGTTATTAGCTTAATTCAACACACCTTTTCGTCATACTAGAAGATTTCAAGAACTAAGATTCAAACTCTAAAATATGATAGAATTTTTTAGGATTCAAACTCTAAAATATGATAGAGTTCTACTATGATTTAAACTCTTAAGATAGGATCCACAAGCACTATAAATAGTCATTGTAACTCACTATTGTAACAGACGATTTACACAAAACACAAGGAAAGCACGGAAAATACAAAACAAACTATTGTAAACGATTCGAAAAAGAAATAAAAGGTAGTATTTTTTTACATTGGTTCGTTCATTTCTCGCATGTGCACGTTATTTTTCTTGAGATTTGGCTCGAATAACCCAAAACGTGGGTTGTGCATATAACCAAAAAGGGTGGGGTTTCGAAAGTTTCGAACCTAGATCTACCCGAGGCGTGTTCATTTTTTTTAAATATTTAATTCACCCCTAAATATTTTTTTCCTACTTTATTATTCTTGTTATATATGCATGTTACTTTCTATTATTTTATGTATATATGTTTTTTTAGTGTTATTATATATATATATATTATATTTTCTATTTTACATGTATAAATATATTATTTTTTTTTTTTTTTTATTTTATTTATATATACTTTTACTTTTTTTTATATATTTTACTCATTTATTTATTTATTTTTTTTTATTTTTATCCTATATTTTATGTTTTTATATTCTTTTACTTTTTATTTATTTATTTGATTATCATTTTATTTTTATTTAGTTGTTTGCTATGTATATATTAGTGTTATTGTATTTTTTATTTTATATATTCTATTCATTTTATATTTATTTTATTTCTTTCTTAATCTCCTTATTTTATTTGTTTTACTTTATTTATCATTTATTCATCTCTTCTAACACATATTTTGACTTTTAAAGGGTATATTTGTAAATCCGTCAAAGGTAAGTAATTTTGGATCATTATTTTATCTTTTAATTTAAACTTATAATTTTCTTAATCAAAGACAACTGGAAATTACGTAGTACCGAAAGGGCAGTTCAAGGGTGCTAATCCTTCCTTGACTGTAACCGACTCCCGAACCCGACACATCTTTGGAAAGAGGCAGATCAGTAAGAAATAAGGTATCCGATCAACCTATTTATTGTTAAATAAATGATCGGTGGCGACTCCAATCCACATTTTTAAGTCGAAGCCCAATTCCGGGGCCCAACCGAAAGACGGTTGCGACAGCTTGGCGACTCCGCTGAGGACACAGGTAAGTGAGTCAGGCTAAGGTAATTTCGAGTTGTCTTTTTAACGAAAAGGGTAAGTTTAAATTTTAAGGTAATATTTCGATCCTTTTTAATTACTTTTGATTATATTTTCGAGTAAATAGTTGTACTAATCGTTTTCTAATGATTTCAGCTTCCTGAACTTTTTTCATCTAAAGGCTCTATACCCGAGCTCCGAACCCGTTTTAAGTGGGGGTGAAAGCGACGTATTCGTGTGAATTTATTCACCGCATATGCCTAGCAAGTAGCCTTCGGGATTCATATACCTTATGTCTTCGTGTGAATTTATTCTCCGCATAGACATAAGGGAATGTGTCCTCTCGAGTTTAACTTAGTCCACACAAGCCTGTGATGGGTTTAGGACTAAGGGTCTGGTAAGCCCAAGGGGGCACCAGCAAGGAGAACTCAGGTACCATTTTTTAGAACCTAAACCGGGAGACTTTGAAGAATTAGAGCCTACCCCAAAACCT